TCACAAATTGTTTGTTGTACTTAGGTATTACACATCTAAAGGATATTTTGAACATGCTACATGAATCAGTTAGTTCAGCAGTGCAGGTTAGAAAGGGCTGAGATACCGCCAACAATTACGTTCGGACAAAATGCCGTCCAGTCCCATAAACCCTGGGTTATTCTCTATTTTTTGCTCCTTTTGTTTTTAACACCTTTTGACTTCAATGACAATTACGTTTTGATTCTTTTTCACTCTTGTCAGAAAGGACTAACTACACTATTTGATGTATTTTTCACTAGCTGCTCCATCTAACCTGAGAGGTCAAAGTCGCAGATTCAGAACAATGATTTCTTCCACTTTTCGGTAGTGCAGCAGTCCCATTACCTCTCTGCACAAAAGCTACACTCTTGCAGCTATTGAAATACTCCTTCGGCAGCTCTTCTGCTGATTCTTGCTCATCAATATGATCATATTTCTTGCAGAAAAGAAAAGCAGACCTTATTTTTTCAAAGAGCAATTCACAACACAAGCAAAATCACTTCAAGGTCCTCACCTATGGCTGCCTGAAGTTACTTGGCTTTTCAAACAACGATTGCACTTTTGCAAATCAGGACTACTTAAGAGGGTCTCCTTCTTACGAATTTTCGGCAGGACGAGCCACAAAAGGTTGGCCTGCACCCCTTCAAGGTACCAGCCTTTTTCCCTTCCACAGACGATGTTGCAATTTCTTTGGGGAAGGGGGCAGGAAAAGCCATCTGCCTTCACCTCAGGTTTTAATATCATGTCCACCTTAACAAAATGATATTGCTCATCCTTTATTATTATTTTTTAATAAACTTGCCACCTATATTTATTTGAGGTATTTATTTGAGCTGTTGGCAGAAACGTGATAAATACTGCAGCCAAAAGTCAGAGGAGGCATCCCCCCTCTACCTGCTGCCGGAATCTGTTTTCGCAGAACGATACTACAAACTGAACTCTTCACTGCTTTATGGTATTTACTTTTTAATTTGACAGCAGTAAAAGGAGCGGCTTACGAGTCAGGATTCCTGGGTTCGATTCCCGTTCTGCAGTTGAACTCAGTTTTGAAATGCTCATAAATAAAAGCTCAGTGCCTCATTTGTGCGTATACAGGGGAACAGCCGGTCACTACAGCTAGTCACTGCTGCTGCTGGTTTTGAGATCATCCAGTGAGATGTTCTCCACGCACAATAGGAAACCAGAATTTCTGTACTGAAACACATTTTGAGCTTTGCTTTCCCTTCATCAGTGGATTTTTGTTTCCTCTGTTCATAACCAGCTACTCTGAGACACTTATTTTCCTCTTTGTAGTGCTCTTAGTTTTGCTCAGAAGATGCAGTTAAAAATACTGAGAGGCCATGGTGGGTGGTGTATCAGAAATAGACACTAGCTCACTGTGAAGCATCCTAAGTAATATCCCACAAAGATAAAGACATGGCATGAAAAGAAAAAAAAAATTGCATTGGTGTTCTGCTGCTAGGGAGCTAAATCTGAACTGAACATAGGAAATGCGAGGTACCATTTGCGGCCAGATCTACAACCCCTCCTGCTAGTTTCAGGTGTAAAGTGGCCCTGTGACAGTGAGGTGAGCAGAAGGTCCCAAAAATGTACCCAACAGTTACCTCCAATTACAAGCAAAATACACACGAGCTTGGGCATTTCTATGAAGACAGTGAAGAACATCAGTAAGAAAATGGACCCAATGGGCATCTTGTATAAACCAGCAGCTTATATAAACAGAATGGGTTTAGTGCCTTTAACCCGCACTTTAAAAGCTATCGAAGCTGTTTAGGGGATATTAGTTTCTTCCCAACAACAGGAACATAAACAGCGTTCGGCTGATGCAAGGCGCTATGAGACCATTCAGGGGATCGGCCCCCAGATTTTTTCTGCTGCTGAAGTTTCTGCTCATTCACCCAGGAACCACCACGGTTATATTTCATCCCAAAGCGCTCAACAAATATGCGTTTCACAAACGACACACTGGGATCACTTCATCCAGCCTGCGGGGAGGCCCAGCGGCTGTTTAAGAGGTCACAAAAGCACCCCCCACCACTTAGCCAGGGAAGTGGCTTTATCAAACTGAAACCACAGAGGGAACTGGGGCAGACGGTCCGCGAGGACGGTGCTCGGTACCGGGCCAGGGCCCGCCGCCCCCACGGGGAGTCTCACAAAGTAGCGCGTATATAAATGACAACTCGGTGTGCGTGCACGCAACGGCGCGAGGGGACACCGGTGGGTCTGAGCCCCTCCGCGGTGAGGTACGCACCTACCCGAGCCGTGCGGGGACACCAAAAGACAGAAACAGCTGGTGCTTCGGCAACTTGCAGCAAGCACCCATCTGCAGTCACGCTCGGGCTGCTGGGGAGGGCGAGTTTATGGTTTACGTGCACATAAAAAAATGTGCACCAGCGAAGAGCATGGGGCCTCTTTGCACCCGAGGTCGTTAGTCCCGAGGAGAGTGCCGTCTACCGATTCACCCACTCGGCTCCCAGGAGTTCACGGGAGCACGTCTCCTACCCAGCTGCGCAACCACAACTTCTTTTTTATTAATCTTTCAAGATATGCTTTGATCCCATCAAAATGTAATATAGCCACAGGCATGACAATAATCATACCTTAAAAAACCTCCATCAACATGTAGATGCAACCTTAACAAAACGCTACTGAAATGCCTAATAAAATAAATGCCATTTAAATGCTGCTACACGGAAACCACAGCCCTAGCAGCGTGGAAGATTTAAAAAAAACAAAGGTCTAGCCGTCTGCACGCAGAATGTTAATACTATTTTCAAAGCAAGTCCAAGAGAAGAAGATGAGGAATTTAATAAGCGTAGTGGGCGTGTAATCAGCATTTGACCATCCTTGCTGTAAAAGTAGGTAAGCATCTTCCTGGCCCAAGACATCTAGGAATGCCACTGAAAGACAGCTAAAGCTTTTAAAACAGAATTTAAAAAACATATGTATTTCTAGTGCAGATTTATTGAGAATTTCATTCTATTAATAATATCACCCAATCCCCTTGGCGAAATACAAATCACGACGTGGGCATAGTAAGTGGCACAGTAAGTTTTGGGCCCATTTGCAGCTCAGTTGGCTGCCAACAATCAGCTATGTCAAGATTTGGAGCATCTCTTGACAACCCTGTGACAGCTGCAGTTACACAGCATTATCTGGTCTTCCAGTAAAATCTTTTCACTGAGACAGCATCACACTGCATTTCACAACAGGAGAAGTATTCGCTGTTAGGCTCTCTCTCTTCGTCATTCATGTCTGGAATCAGGACATTTGCGGGGGGAGTGCCTGTTGGTGCTCTTACTGCCTTGAACCTAACTGCTCACTTCCAGATAGAATTGATCAGCAAAACATAAAACAAATCGCCAATACGTTAAATCCTCTGACAAAAGACAGAAATAATGTTATTTATATTTCATCTCATGCTCTAAAGTTTAATTTTAAAATATTTGGTACAGAATGCTCATGGGGTATGCAAAGCCAATTCATCCTCTCGTCTAGTCGCATACTCAGTCAAACAACCTCTTTTTGAATCAAAAAATAGGTATTTTTAAGATATATTACAATGATCACATACAGACAGACAAACATACCATGATGGGATCTCTAATGTTGCTACAATGTTGTCACCATTTTATCTGGACAATTTTAAAACGTGGGTTATGAGAAACTGAGTACACTAAGCAGAACAACAACAACAACAAAGTGGACCCTACCTCCCCCAACTACTGGTTGGAAAATTTTAAAGTCAAATACAGACTAGATAAAATAATGAGCTATGTTAGTGAGGGCAGAAATTGTTTCATGTCTTCAAAAATCTCTTACAGTTTTAAGAGACCTCAGTACTCGCCTAAGGCCAGAGTTATATTGGGGGTGAGGATGGAGGAGGAGAGGGGGCAGAGGCAATACTGAGCAGAACCAATATTAAATGAAAAGTGCTAATTTCATACGCTAACAATCTCGGTAGTTCAAATATTTTCAGACACCAAACCAAACCCAACCAACTTAACCATATTGTTATTTTAAATAATTCATACGGAATTCTGCAGCGACAAGATTATGAAAAACAGGCATGTATACTCTGCAGCAGCATAAAACCTAATTCTGTATATAATCCAAGCATCATTTTTTTCTTCTCTGTCATAATCAGTATTCAATCTAAAAGAGCATCTGTCATATTCTCAGGAACCAAAAATAGCAAAGACCCTTTTAAACAGAACAGTTTCTGTTTTATATTTATAACTGCACTGTACTTGCTGCTCCTGGCTGCACGGCTATGAAATTTGTGAGAGATATAATCAATTACCCAGCTTCTCACTTCATCATGCGGTTAGCTACCGTCTACCTGCATCTTACCCTTCAAGCACTTTTCCCCATGCACAGGGTAGAGATTTTAAAATGCAAGAAATATTTGCACATCGAAGAACTAACTGTAGAGCTTACTGACATTACACAGCAAAAACCTTGCGAGAACAAAACCCGAGCACACTGATGTATAAAACAGAGAGCCTACCTGAATTCTTCAAATGCATACATGGCCTAGTAACTAGACAAATGCTCTGAAATTTAAAAGAATCTTCTTAACGTGCAGGAGGACCATTTAGTTTGTCAAACTGCAGCAAAACGCATACTGAAGACACGAGTATATTGGAAATATTCTGAAGAGAAAGGGTATGCAGATACTGGCCTGCAGCCTACAGCTCAGCCAGCTGCTGACAAGCAGCAGCTACCAGGGAAAGGCGATAGAGTACCATGTGATCATTCCAGCAAGTCTGATTAATGCAGTATACTCCAAGAATACAGGCTGATATCTTTATTATTCAAGCCAAATAAGTCAAATACGGTACCAGACAGGCTCAATAGCTAAATTATTGTTCGCATGCTACATCAAAATCAGAAAACACAATCAGAGGACAAAAGGAAAACAAGCATATATTGTAACTGAGGAGATTAATTAGGCCAATTCAAGCTGATTTTCTTACCTTGTAGTGATATTATGGTCTGTGTTTTTATTCATATAAACCCATCAATGATGCAACAAAAGATTACAGCCACAAACCTCCACTGCCATGAATGCCAGACCATTTTAAGTAGTTTATCTACTAGAAATCATCCCTTCTGTAGTCTGTTCCTAACCACCTTAACTCCTTCAGCCCCGTACTCTCTGCCATAAATCCTATTTACAATACCACGAGCGCGTCTTAGGTTTTATAGGGTTAACACTGACAAACCGCATCAGAGCAACTGAATGAAGTGGGATAAGAGCCAGAACAGCCCCATTTTCAAAATGAAAGAAGGAAAACGGGAATGAGGAAAGTTGAGAATTTCATGGCATTGCAGCCTGTAACTAAAGATGCTCCAGCTGCCTAGCAACAGGGACACGCAATCTCCACGGCAACAGCGCGGGCAGTGCCCGGGTTAAAGCCAGGCAGGTTCAAACGAGCAGGTGATTCTTGCACCCGTGAGCAAAACTCACCATCCTTCACGCCTCAGGATGACTACACGGATCACGGCACAGAGATGGACGCTGCCACAGCCCAAGTGGCAAATGGGAAGAGACGGGACTTAACAGCTGCCCTTGGGTTACGAGGATGAGGTTTACACCTACTATACTTGGAGTGCCCCAAATGAAGCGCGCAGGGCACATTCCTAAAATACCTCAGCGGACAAAGCATCTGCCCCTCCGAAACATCGTGGCCCAGCAGCTTAACAGACCCTATCTCAAGGAGCGCAGCTTGCGGGGAGCAAAAACACTAGGAGCCAGACTTCGTCTTCCCTATGGCAAGCCACTTGCCCTCAGTGGAAATTTTGGACACCTAAGAAACATAGGCTTGGAGACTGCCATTACCCATTTGCTACGAACAGTATGCACCCTACCCACCAGGATGCACCCTACCCACCAGGAGACTTCACCAAGCCTCTCAACAGCGCCAGCTGAACTTGACAACGTGTTCGGGAGAAACAGAGGGACATTTCATTGTGCAGTTTTATATTCAGTGAATTAGTCTCAGCATCTGTGCCATAACCGTGTGCAGTCACCTCACAGAGGAGAGGACCGTGGATGCCAGCTCAGGCCAGGCAGAACGAGAAGAGACGCGGACACTTGGCTGCTAGCTGGACAACAGATGAAGGGAGAGGACTGCTGGAAATAATGGAGGTTCAAATCCTGGGAAATCGGCTCCTCACCCCCTTACCTGGGAGGGGAAGTTTAGGGCCAGTGGGAGAACATGGGAAAGTCTAGTGTCATTTCTGGTTGATTAATTACAAAGACTCCCATATTAGATGGTAAGATCTGAGAACACCATTCCTTATGGTCCACAGGAACGCGGTTCAGCGTGCAATTACCCAACTGACCTTGCAGCGACTTTAAAAAGTCTAATGAACATACGCAATGGCAAAATACATAAATAAATGCCCAGACGTTACTGATCGTCTGCCATTTTCACACAGCACTGAAACTGGATGCAATATTTCTCCAGAGGCTTATTAATTAAGTCATAAGATGGTAGCAGCTCCTTATGACTTTTTAATCAAAGGCTGCGATTTCTCATGCCCTGAGACAGAAAGTACTTCAGAAACCACAATCAGAAACAAAAACCCAATACAAAAAGAAAGAGCTGTTTTTTCATCAAAGCCTGTACTGATTTTACCGCCAGGCAGAGAATCATGTTCCATGCTTCACCACAGAATGGAATTATGTCATGGAACCAAAAAATGACTAAACACAGATGAATTTGGGGGGACAAGTAATGTAATGGGAAGCAAAGGAACACATCCCACCTTCTGACATAACGCCAGATAGATGTGGCAATGAGAGCTCCCACAGAAGCAGTTCAGTAGCTTACTTTTGGCTAACAGTTTGCAGTTTTAAGGCTAACAAACAAACAAAGTCTAACAAATGAGTGAGACTGTGCGACAGAAATGGTAACCCTTGCTGAAAGTTTTGGCAAAGGAGCAAAGGATACTTAAAGATTTGAAACATGACAATCCAGGACAAGGCTGATGGAAATGGTGCAGTTTCTGCACTCAGGTAGTACTTAAATGGCATATAAAGGCCTTATGTCAATCCTCTGCACAAGAAATTAATTGCCCCAAGAATAATAGCTTGTATTATTAGTATTCAGTACATCCATGTTGGTTCTGTTGACCTGAGATTCCACCAAAGTCTTAGCCAGATGCTACGTGATATTATCCTGTTACTAACAGACTGAGATATTTTAATGAAGTAAGCATTTATTCCCTTACTGAAGCAAGGGAAAAGCCACTAACGTAGGGAACATCCGTAACTAAGGCTGTGTTATTGTTGTTTTGCTGAAGTGATATTCAGACCACTTTGAAAAATTCAACGGCACAGAAAGATCCAGCGTGCACTTCAGTTCCTGAGGAAGAAAACAGAAGGGGAATAGAGAAGAGAAATGAGGCAACAAGAACCTATATGACCAGTATATATCTGCAGCAGCTCTAACATTTGTGCAGTGTAGATGGGGCAATCCCAGACAGCATCCCAGAGTATGCTGAAAAATCTCCTTTCAGTAGGATTTTCTCTGAGTTCAAAAGTCATTCTTGGTCTTAAGAAAATAAGATTTAAGAGGATTTATTGAAATAGAAGAGGGAAGGGCTACCTTAGTTTGTTCAGGTACAGAAAAAATTATGGAAATAGTGGCAGTACCCTATAGTTTACTGAGCAATGGCATGTTCAGTATTGGAGGTAACCGTACTGACTCAAACCTTCAGCTGTGAAAGGAGGGAGGGAATGATGACTCTGTCTTCCATTTTCATCCATGGGATTTCTAATATACATTGCCTTAAAACACTGAGACAATTACAATGTACAAGAATGATTTCTTTATCCTCATTTCAAACTGCTCCCTTCATTCTGTGATCTTTATTTTGACTGTGGTAGAAGTCAACCTTCACAAAGAAATCCTAGCAGTGTCCCCTCCTCATTGATACAGTTTTAAAATATGACAGTATATTCACAACAAAGATCAGTTTTCTCCCTCCCAGTTTTGGCCTGGGTACACTTCACGCTTTGCAAACCTGGAGGCCCAGCCTGACCACAGGATGGCCGGTGTGAGGTCTTGCCCGTTATTTGCTTCCACAGCTTTACTGTTATTTTTATTAATAGACGCTCTGTACCAGGTGCAGGCCAGCATACAGCATCTCACGGTGCTGAAACAGAAAGTTTTTCCAAATACAGCCCCATCTGCCTTACTCTAACGCTTACGGAAGGTGCAGGTACCCCTGCCCCGAGTTTTGCTTGCTTATGAGAAACTATTTAAAGCATAGAAAATCTCTGCCAAGGGAAAAGCGCAGGACTGCATGAATTTAAAGTAAAAAGCAGTAGCGTATTATTTACTCCTAGATAAACAATTGTCAACCACAGCTTTTTCAGTACAGCACAGTTTAATTTGAATCATACTGCAAACAAATGTTGCCGCAGCAATAATGAATTATGCTACCTCAAAATTCACATAACAGCTATAGCATTTTATACCTACATCTTGGCCGATTAGTATCTTAATCTGTGTGAACACTGAGCAGAAGACACGGATAACACCTTGTGAGAAAATAAAGAAACTATAGATCTGAATTTGGAAACTTCCTTCAAGCTAGCCATAATCAGTTATTTGGGCTTTTTCCAAGTGGTGGGGGAATAAGTGGGAAAAGAAAGGAGCAGGAGGCTGAAACTAGACCTGGATTATCACCATTTGGTGTGGAGTGAACGCGCATTTGTGTGTCATGCATACATCATATATAAACAAACAAAAGAGTGTATACTTTAATCATGAATACAAATAAAGGTATTCACATACCACCAGAAATACCCTGATTTCTTGCAGTTCTCAATGAATCAAGCGGCATAGATCTAATAAGCATTTGAATCACATATCAACATATTGGCTGCTACTTTTAGCTGCAAACATGAACGAAGCAGCTTCCCCCCCCACAGATGAACATAGTAATGCCTATTAAATTTGGGACGCATTATCAAGTATATTGCCAGGCTATAGGTTATCCTTGCATGGAAAATATTAGAGTGCACTTGACATCATCTTTAGTAAACATTAAGAGTGCATCTATTAACAATTGCATTTTCCTGTAACATTGCACTCTACTTAATTTTTCGCTTATCTACTTCCTGTCATTTAAGGCCAACTTTTATGACTTTTATACTCCTGCTTCTGTTTGCCAGATGTAATCTCACTGCTGTTGATAAGACTCCAACGCAAGATCGCAGCACGAAGGTCTTAGGAGCTATTAGCTTGCGGGGATTTTACACAGACACAGTGTCAGAGCTTCATCTGATCATGGCCCAGAATTTCACCCAGGATATATAAGGATAATCCACTGTGAGGGACTAATGGTATAGAATTTGCCAAAACTTAACTGCATTGCTTTCACGTTAACATCTCTATTGCCTTTGCTTCAATAGGAAGTTTTAACAAAACAGTAAAGTCCTAGTGCTTTAGTTAATTATTGAACACTTGGAAATGAGCCTGCAAGTTCACAGCAGACAGCAAACAGCAACAAGAGAAAATGTTTTTTTTTCCCCCCTGATAACTGATGCAAAAGATGTCAGAGTAAATGCATGAAGGAATTATTCATTATATACTGTGGAATTCTTTGTTCAGAAACAACTTCTGACAGCAACATCAAGCTTAAGCCTTGGCAATTTCAGAATTCTACTTGCTCGCTCCCATAACAACATACAGAAGTTTTGATTTCTCCCAGGCGCTGGAAGAGCCTCGCACACGTGAGCACAGTTTCACACAGTAGCCCACGCTACTTTGCTGGCAGGTGGGAGATGTCAGCGGTGAGATGTGACTAGAGCTGTGCTTCCATCCAAGGAAAAGTTGGGACAACATCACACTACGTAGGCTCTGGCCTACTCTGTACAGATGAATCTTGACTTTAATAAGGCTTTCAACACCATCTCCCATCACATCCTTGTACACAAACCAATATAGTACAGGCTAGATAAGTGGATGGCGAGGTGGACTAAAAGCTGGCTGCACTGCTGAACTCACAGGGCTGTGATCAGCAGCATGAAGTCCAGCTGGAGGCCTGTCGCCAACAGGGC